TAAGTACGCGTTCTGATGCAGTTTTAGATGCTCTTTCATATGAGATGTTGCTCGAAAAGAACGGACAAAATGTGATGAAGTTATGAGCGAATTATCAAAAAGGTCACTTTTTGAGGGTTTCCTTGACACGCTCCGATTAAGATGCCCATAACTCGATCAAATTTGGGCAGAACTCCCAAAAAATTTTTTCATAACCACAGTTTGATGTATTGAATCCGAATATGCAATAAAAAGTATAGGTCAAAAAATTTTACTTAATGGCAATACTCGACGTTCTGATGCAGGCTCTCTTAAAGGGTATAATCATTTGAACCATATCATAACAGTTGAAACATTTCTTATTCTTATCAAAAAACTAATTTTCGTTTTCTAAAATACGGCTAAATTATGTTCTGCAAAACGGTTGAGGTTTCTCCACGCCACAAAAAAACCTTTCAGATATTTTAAAATAAAGCAATTCAGGGTTTTTTAAATCACGGCTTTTTCGTCTTAAAATACCAAAAGGGTTTTCTGATAAAAGTAAAAATGTTTAAACAGTTATGCTATGGTTCAAATGGTTATACCATTTTCCGTATTTAAAATATCTTTTTTTTTAGAGAGTGGTAAATTATTTGAATCACAGGAGCAGTTCCGTTAGGAGTTCCATAATCAATTACTTATACTCCGTAAACTTCAACTTCGAAAAGCATTCCTATTAAAATAATTTTGACTTTTTTACTGTATTTTCTTCAATAGAATATGATATTTCTTTGAATTTATTTCAAAACTTTTTCCCAACAGTTTCAGTTCACACAGTTCCAGTTAACTGGTGCATACCTAATATTTAGAAAGATGTAACAAATTATTACACTATAGTCGAGTCGAGCACATGTTCACCAATGGGCGTTTGCTGTTACTTCTGATCTCCACCATTTCGTTGTTTTTCTATTACTTCTTTTTCTTGTTTTTTCGCACGATATAAACCGGTACATAAAATGAATACGAAAAATCCTGAATAGTATGCAATTAAGATACCAATATTTAAACTCAAGTGTGTATATGAACCAAATACGAAATGTCTTCCGCCACTCATGCATTGATACAGCGGTAAACCGTAACCAATTCTATAAAATTTTGGTTGAAGTTCAATGGGAAAATTAATTCCAGATGAGGATAAATTTAATGTTAGGAATAATGTTAAAAAAAGTGTGGCGAAATGTCCAAGATTAATTGAAACAGCTGCATTGATGATAATAAATGTGATAGCTACTAACCAGTTAAAGAGCCAGTAACGAACAAATGTACCGTGTAACGGCGTAGTAGCAAACCATAGAACACATAGTGAAAAAATTAGTGAGATAAAGAAACCTTGGAATATTCCATAAAATAAACGAAATAGAAGAATCTCGATTACTTTGAATTTTCCAATTAATAACGATGTAAGACTTAGAGTGGCTGCTACATGACCAACAACAACGACCCAGAGAACGAGATAACCAAGAGTTGTGCCAATAGTACCAGAAAAGTGATATATTGCTGGATGTAAATTCATTGCAGTATATTTTAGGGGATTATTTAAAACAGATGTTATTAGAACAGAATTAATTGAAACTACAACACTATTATTTGATGATGATAATAGCTGTTGATTTAGTTGATTTAGTAGAATATTTGTATATTTTGCATTTGCTGCCGCTATGATATTGGTGATTGGCGTGACAACGTAAGTTGGTACACTATTGCTATTTCGACCTTCGTCATAAGCAATTATTATTGATGAATTTAATATCACAGTAGATTTATACGATGATGTAAAGATAGAATTTATTGTCGAATTAATTAATTGTGTTGTACCAGCTTTAATATAAACAACTGCCCATACTTTGCCATGTTGCACTTCATTTATCACATTATTAGGATCATTTTGATAATATGCTGGTGACCGATAAATCCAATGTAATATTTGACCAGTGGATTCTTGAAATGATTGCAGAAAAAGACTGCCGGCTTGTTGTTGATCAAAATCAATGATAAGTACATGTAAATTTTTTGTGTAATGTGTTGGAAAACGAGTCGAACCAAGAAATATCAAGTACATTAGCAAACAAACAATCCATACAGAAACGGAAAGAACTACCCATCCACATAAGAGTGTACGTCGTGCAGCTGAAATGGCAGGATCATTAGACCAAATATGTTTTCGTGGCGGTGGGAGAACAGTTCCACCGTTCTTTACTAATTGTGTCAACATCCTTATCCATTCAGTGATGAAACTTCAGTGAGGAAATGTTCCATTTTCTGAAGTGACCCACTATACACGTAACAAACCTTTTGTGCGAAATAAGTTATATTATGCAGAAGTTTATCAATACTTAAAGAATATTTTAATGTAGTACGTTATAAATTTATCTGTGCATTTATCCTATTCATATAAAAAAACATAAAAGCATTTGTGTCAAGCGAACAATTAGTGAATGAGTATCGGTAATAATAGGTTGAGAATGTTTTATGTTCGTACTATGAGAACAAACTAAAACGAAAGTGTTTTGTATTGTTTTTTCGCATGTAAAATAACAAGGTGATTTACAGTCACGGTCGAAGTGTTAACTTTATCATTGATAGCTATATTATGCTAGAGAGAAAACTAAATTCATGGTTATTAGTCTGGAAACTAGAATATTGGTTAATGAACAGTGAGCCAAATTTATACTTATACTCTTGACACTTTCATACATATGAGAGAGCGTACAGTTGTCTGTAAGTGAACTGAATTACAAGAGAGCTTTTTTCAACGGTAGACAGTCTGATGTCTGAATTATGATCCACTTAATTACAACTTCTTAGATGAGATTGTTTGTATTTATAGTTAGACTTTTTCAAGCAAATTTCCAAATCAAGTAATACGCATCTTTCCAAATGTTTCCTGAATAACTAAAATGCTGTATTTCAGAGGGCTTACAATTTATTAACGAAATAATAAATTGCGCCGTTCCTAGAATAAACGGCTTACCGACACTTTTTTCAGAATAAATGGCTCTACAGTTGTCTATCCGGGAGGGTTCTCTAGCATAAATGGCTCCGCCATTTATTACTCTCCAGCATAAACGGCTCTTTGTGCATAAGTTATATACGATTACGACGTCATGGTATGTTGCATCGGTACGTAGTAGTTTCACATTTTTCCGGTCAACGTTTTTGATCTACGACTACTGTATGTTTAACTCGCACTTTTCTTCGAGAGCATTTTGTAGTGAAAGTTTAATGCGAGCTGACTAGGCTTTGATCTTGTTATAATCTTTATTTGAAAGGGAAAGGTCAGTATGAGTAGCGAGTGAGGTAGTAAATTCAGATGATGTACAGAGTTAATTCACCGCTCTGCTCCCGTATCTAAATAGGTCGCGTTTTTGGTGCCCTCAATGCTACACAGTCGGATTTCTGAGCAAGTTTTCTGTTGAGGCACATCTCTTTCGCAGATTAACTCCGTCCGTATGTGTCACAAAAAGCAAGTCAAAAACAACAACTTTTTTACAAAAGAGCACTTAAAAAGAAAGATTGTCCGAAGGTACTGAAACACTGATTTCACCGTGTTTTACCCGGTTTTCTCGTCAGGAACATAATGCAGTCAGGGTCAATCATTCACCTCAGACTCACTTTGAAGTTGAGATCAAACGTGTACATAGCAATTTTATTAACACGCCCTGTCTTTGTGTAAATCCTTTCTACTTGTCATAAGAACCATATTAATAGTTTTCTCTCATATATTTTTCACTTATGGTTTGCCATATAACTGGCATTTAATCTCAGAATAAAAGGGATAGTGGTTAAATGTTTCATAGCTCGCCAGTGAGTTTTACCGTAAGGTAACGTTTGCCGTATGTGAAGGAAACATTCACGCTTGGACTTTCAGAGAATGTATATCCGCAGATATTATCACTAGGATCAGTTCGTTGTTAGAGCCAATCTAATATTCTGTGAATGAGGCGGAATGGCTGAGCCCCAATTCTCCGTGCGTCAAACAGAACCGAACTGATCATCGCTACATCCCGAGAGTCACTAACGGCAAAGCGATATACACCGAGGATACTCACAATTGTTATAACATCAACCTTTCATACATTTCTCACTTCTGTGTAGTTTTATTTTTGAGATCTTTACACAGCAAACATTAACTGAGTCTATACACTGAGAAAGTCCCGGTATTTGGTGTATTTCATGATAAAGAAGAACTATTTTTGACATCCAAAATGAATGAAGAAAAATTGCAACTGTGCGAGCGACAGTAAATAGAAAGGAAGTTATACATCCCTATTCTCTCACTCACTGCATGTGCTGTGTACTTACTAAACTACTTAAAAGTATTTGTAAATCGAATATAGAACCGCTATGATTCATAACAGTTCTATATTCGATTTACAAATACTTATTTCCAACTGCTCTACCAACAAATTTCATATATGAAAGTATTTTCTGAGAAAGAAGGCTCGTTTCTGATATACCCAACACGTCAAAAGAAAATTCTAACTGTGCAACAGTAAAATAAAAAGGATTTTCTATGTCCCTCCCTATTCTCTCACTCACTGCAACTG